TTTTTTTCTTTTTTTCCCCAGAGTTTCTGTGAAGGAAGACGCTTTGCCACATGATGTTTTCCAGTAAATATGTTGGTGAAGAAAGCCGGCCTCCCCCTCCATTGCACCAGGTGGGTTATCTGTTATTTCGTCTTCATAGCTGAACCGTTCACTCAAATTCATGCAGGTGGTTTAATTACTCATACTTTGTGTGCCAGTAATTGCACCAACACAGTGCTGTTCTGTAATTTTGTTGAAGTGTTTTCTTTATAATGTTAAAGATGTTCTCAAACCGTGCACCTGGATGTTAAAGTCATTCCTACTATGTATGCTGCAGAGCCCAGGCTCAGGAGTGAAATTGCATAAAACTAAGGAAAAGCAGGTTAAAGAACGTTTAAATAAAACACATAATTGTCAGCAGCTCTTTTTATGTCGCCTGTATGTGTGACACAGGCTGCTGCTATGATTGGTGGTTTCCAGCAGAACCTGTAAGTGAACTCAGGGTTTTTTGGTCAGCTCTGCCCTGTGACGCCTTCAGGGCAGAGGGCTGAGCATGTTCAGACTACAACTGAGAAACGTTTCTGCCACTGAAAGGTCTCAGAGAGAACTTTTTAATTAGATTGTGAGATGTGCTTTTTTGTGAGATTATTTGCCTTTTTAGTGTTTGGGAGATTTTTTCTTTTCTGCAATAATGAGGACAGAATCTGCTGCAGCATAAAGAGCATGCTCGTGTTGCAGTGTTAACATACAAAGCAAAATCAAACTCAGCTGCTTTTCATTTGGTTCCCCCCAAAAAAGTCTTTGTTACATTTGTTACATTAGCTTGTCTGCATACACTGTAGCTTTTTTGGCAAATAAGCAGAATAGGTTTTCTTTAAAAAGTGAATGTCTGCTAAACAAGAATAAACTCTCAAATCTGTATATTAACTTTTTTTTAAGGTGTGATAAAAAGGAAGAGAGACTGTAATTGTGATAAGAGGAAAGGTGTTTTGCAGTGCAACACAACTCATACAATCATATAAAGGTTGAAGGTAATAAAACTGTTAGTCTACACAGTATGGATTCCTTATCTTTCTCTGTGTGCTGTAAATTTCCGCCTGCTCTTGTACCTCCTTGTTAGCTCTGCTGAGTGACTGTGGGGAAGGCAAAGCACAGAGAGCAGTGCAGCAGCAACACTCAGCCAGATGTTCTCTGATGCGATTCCCCACAACAGGACATATTGTGATCTGACATACTGTGTAGTTGATGTGATTTCTAATTTTAGTTCTCACATAGCCTCAAATCATTTTCACACCACTGAGTCCCCCATGATGCACATTTACAACACACGTTCAGCCCTTCCTGCCTTCTCATTATCCTAATTTCCTCACAAGCAACCAAAATCTCAACCAACTGATGTGCCAGCGTTATTCAGGAGTCAAATGTAATTAGGGTTGGCCTTGAAAACGCTCACTCACCACCTTGTAACAGCAACCCAGCTGTGTGGCTCATGCTTTATGCAGAACCTGCTGCACTGTGGTCATGCAGATGTGGTTTGGAACTCTTCCCCTTTAAGGCACAGTTGGACTGGCTGAACAGGGAAGCACCACAGTCAAGTACATTTATAAATATCAAGCAAAGCCACAGTTGACATATAAAGTGTGTGTGATGGTGTTGGTTGTTTCTTTTTGGTTTTGTTTGCATGCATTGAAAGCAGTAGACAGGGTGAGCAAGGCCACAGAACAGAGTAGGCCTCAATTTAAATATACCCTGATAACATTATGACCACCTGCCTAATGTCGTGTCGGTCACCCTTTTGCTGCCAGACCAGCTCTGACCTCCAAGGCATGGACTCCACCAGATCTGTGAAGGTGTCCTGTGGTATCTGGCACCAAGATGTTAGCAAGAGTGTTCAATCAGACAAAGCCATCTTCCCTCATTGCTCCGTGGTCCAGTTGTGATGCTCATGTGCCCATTTTTGGTGCTCTCAGTGGCGAGCAGTAGTCAGCATGGACACCCTGACTGGTCTACGGCTACGCAACCCCATACACAACAAACTCTGATGTGCTGTGTAGTCTGAAGCCTAACTCGTCTGTTGGATTGGACCACAGAGGCCAGCCTTTGCTCCACCATGACCCTGTTGCTGGTTCACCACTGTGCCACTTTTGATAAATACTGACCAACGCAGAGTGGGAATACCCCACAAGACCTGCAGATTTGGAGATGCTTTGACCCAGTTGTCTAGTCATCACAATCTGGCCCGACTCGCACAAATCTGCATACTTTGCCATTTGTTCTCCTTCTAACACGTCAAGTCTGAGGACAAAATGTTCACTTAATACATCCCACCCACTAACAGGTGCTTCAACCAAGAGATAATCACTGTTATTCCATTCACCTGATCGCCTGATCAGTGTGTAGTATAAGTTATAATAAGACTTTTCACCAAATGACTTGCTGTATTTGAAACAGTTTACAATAAGAATTACTGGTGTTTGTATTAAAAGTAGGTGGGGCCCAGCTGCCTGCACCTCTCACAGTAGGGAGTGAGGCACATCAGGGGGAGCAGCAAGGCCTCTGTGAATGCTTTTAAAGCTGTGACAGTCTTTTGCATCCTGAGCTCAATCAAACCAAAGGTACAGGATAGACGGACCTTTCTTGCTGATTAGTTAAGGAAACTGTCTGCAAGTTTTTCTTTTGTAACATAACAGCAAAAATGTTATTTGTAGGGACATTTGGATCAGATATCAGTCCAAGCTTACTCAGAAAGCTAGATCAATAACAAGTTGGTCTATATTTAAGAAACCTATACTACAGAAACACAGTACAATTAGTTCTACACTGTTTATGACAGATGGTAGTTTCAAATTTGTCATCTATAAACACAGACTGTAAGATTTATTCTGCTCTCAACTTCCAGTGTCCTTTAGTGTTGCGTATTTTGGTTGTGAGGATTCAGACCCTGACCCAGTGACAGGAATACTTCAGCCTATATCAAAGAACAGGTGCTACTGCACATTCATAATGACATTTTTTTGTGTTTTACCAAGTGTGGAGAAATAAAAGCATGGCCTACTTTACTCTCAGGCACATGTTTCAAAAACCTTTGAAGGTCACCACATATGCAGACGGCTGCGCTCTCTAATGGTCATGGTAACTACCTTAGAACTACCTTTAACTACCTGGATGTCAAAGAGTTCATTCATTTCCACACAAAGTGCTCACTGCAAGAGTTTTTGTTTTTTTTTACATTAAAAAAACCCATTACTCACAGAGTACGTCATGAAGCTTGTCAGGTGCTCCTTTTTACAGCTTCTTCAGATTCTTTGTCTTCACCCACGCTGCCCAGCCTCCACCTATAATGGCCTGCTAATGGGGGCACATCCTGCACACAACTTAAACTGCCCTCTGACCGTCTCGGCTTTCTATACTTTTAGTTGATCCACAGTGAAGCAAAGACAGAATTCATTGTCTGTTAAGTGCAGCTGCTGCAGAGTTATATATTGCATCATGCGGCTGGATAAAACTACACGCCTCTGGAGCGAGGATCGCAAGTTCGATTCCCACCTGGTATCCAGTAAGGGTCCTGGCTAGACCCCCCCCATGCAAAAAAACAAAACAGCCCTGGAATGGAGCCTGTATGTCTGCAGCCTGTCCGCAGTTCAGGACACAAGCATTTCACTATATGTTGTACTGTGTATGTGACATATAAAATTTGTATGCCGGCATGGACGGGGCTTTTGTAATTGTGGCTATATTTCTCATTTTGTTTACTGGTTTTGATGGGGTTTAACTCATTACCCCTTGAAAGCCTACTATGAGTAACCCCAGAAGCTGATTTCTGAGCTAAACAGTTGCTGTCATATTTCAGACCTGCTCATAGTACAACATGACTGGGTTTGTATCAGCCGTTAGAAATTAGTGAGGCTGGTCTCTGCCTATGCAGCCACCCTTGGAAAAATCCAGAAACTATGAGTAATGGTCAACAAACCACAACTTTATTGACAAATACTGAGGTATCAGAACGGGAACAGGGGAGGCTGTTACATGTTGTGTTTCCGGGAGAGAGAGTTAAAGCCGGTTATCTTTGAATTTGTTGTACAAATATATAAATGTCAAAGAAGCTGAATTATTTTAGAGTCTGAAATAATCTGTCTTTACTCACAAAACTAAAGAAATGTAAAACAAACTTGGAGATCAGCTTGATGGTGTGATTTGTTTATACTCTGATCGTTTCCCTGTAGTCATTTTGCATGACTCTCATTTAGATTGAAATTTTGATTCATTTACATTTTTCATTTGCACCTTTCGCCACGTATAGCTTTACCAAAGAAGACTGATTAAAATCCATCTGGGTTTTCTCACATTGGACATAAATTAGATGAAGCTTTACAGTCACTTGCTGGAAGCTGGTAATGCCTTTGAAGCGTTTTCATGAATGCCAAATATCAGCAGGGTGCTTTCTGCACAAGCTGGAGAAGATTTTACATGCTGTACAATTGCAAATTGACTTCATTATGATAAGACTTTGACTTTTTTTCCACACTCGTGAGAATTGGTATATTTCAGCATGTTTGATGTATTGTTCATTTAGCCTAATATGTTTAGCAGACTGTGTGCTGTGTATCAGTTCATCCAAAGGTCATGTGATGATGCCCCCCATCGCCAGCTGTTTGGCTGAAGAGTAGATATGAGATTTGTTTTTATTATCTGTGCATCTTATTTACCTCATTATCCAAATCTGATCCAGTTTGCTGCCAAAACAGGGGAAAGAAAAACTCCTTGTCGCAGCCACATTGACTCCAATAGGAAATAACTCCAACAAGCAGGCACTCAACTGCTTGGGATTACCAGAAGTATGGGTAATAAGTAGCACTGAAGTAGGAAACCAATAGCACTTGCCATTTTGTCAATATTTTTGTCTGAAGTGCCTACATAAGCCTGAATCAATAGAAAACTATGTCCATCACACCACAGTTGCAGGAAAACCATTTGTTGTGTTGACAGATCTCGGGGGTTTCTCACTATTTTGTCATTCACAGGCAGCTCCAGAGTACATCAGCATTCTGCGTGAAACCGCTGAACAGAATCCCTGTAATCGTTTTTTTACCTGAGGGATTTCAGTTGCATGAGCTGGTGTGTTATTCAGTAA